GATCCGTAGAATCTACGGAGTCTCTACGCGACGATTCCTCATCTTCTGCAATTTTTGGAATATTAATATTGTTATTGTTTAATTGTTAAAAAATGTCTTTTGCGAGTTCAATACAGTAAAGCCTCACAAACTCCACACCCTGTAACTCTAAAGTCCTTGTGACTCTACAGTTTACAGCTTGTCTAGTTGGCTTTGTCTTACTATTGTGTTTGACTTTTTAAGTTTTATTCAATTGTTGATTATTTGGCATTCCTCTGAAAATTGTTTTACTCAATATTTAAAAATACTCATGTAGGCCTAAGTAATAAATAGGCCAATATATGTAAAAACTAGTGTGTTATGTTATAGTTATAATTTATTAAAACCCATTAAACATTCCAATGTTCTAGATAACCCGACAACCCCTATTAAATACAAATTATACAAAATATATGAACACAACTCTTGATACATGTTTATTTCTTAATAATGAAAGATAAACATTGAATTATTTACAATGTGAAATTATTCCAGTCATATGATTAATATTAAAATAAAAGATAGATTTTTGGGATATATAACAATTCCTCCCTACTTATTTAAGAAGATCGTTCATTTATAAGTTCATCCTTTTAATCGGTTTTCTGATTCTCGTTGAACGCGAATGTTAGGGACATCTGGTTGTGAGTTTGCATTGGACCCTTCGCGTCTTGTTGTATGATTGTACTCGGCTCTTCGGCATCTTGTTGGCTGCTTGTAGGATTGCTTGTATTTGACGCTTTCATTGTTAGTTAAAGGCTTTTTGTCTCACTATCAGGCATTGAGTTTGCTGTAGGACTCGATGTTTCAGTGTCCGTAGTTCCCTTCCCAGCTTGGGGTGCTACTTGAGACATTTTCTGTATCATGTGACCTTTCTGAATTGCTTTTTGATTTTCTTAACATGCCGTACCTTTTATGTCCCATGAATGGAGGTTGTCTTGAACAATTTTGATTGGTATTTTGAAATATTAAAGTTCGATGAGTTTGCGTAGGTGGTACTTTGGCTATTGGGTTGCATTGGTTGTTTGAACCTTCTTGCCTTGTTTGCTTCAATGAGTTAGGTAGAGGGCTTTTGTAATGATTAGGATCTTTTGGCACTTCACAAGCTCGAAGCTGATTGAAGTGACGTTTTATCACATACCCATCATCAAGTTCTACGAGGTAGTGAAGTCGCCCCAGCCTTTCCACGACAGTTCCAAATTTCCACAGAATGGATCCTACGTAATTTCTTGATTGTACTCTCTCCCCAATATTGAAATGTTTGTTAAATATTGGTTGTTGGGCCTCATTTTTGTCATCTTCACTAGGCCTTAAGAGATCTAGCTTGGTTCTCAAGTTCCTGCCAAACATTAATTGTGCTGGGGATGCACCGTACTCAGTGGTGTAGCTCGGTACCGAAATAATAGTGCACATAGTTTTTCATGTAAAGTGCCCTGTTCAAACTGCATGCACCTCAGTTTTGTCTTGAGTGTTTGGCAAAATCTTTCCGCCTGACCATTAGTAGAGGGTTTCCTGGTGCAATGAATCGTTGTCTTATTCCTTGGCGTTTGCAGAATGCTTGAAACTCTGCTGATTTGAAAATTGTAGCATTGTCACTGACCAATATTTCTGGTAGGCCATGGTGACTAAATATTTCTCTCAGGTGATGAATAGTACTGGCAGTTGTTGGCGCACTTTTATTGGATATATTTCTGGCCACTTTGACCTGGCATCTACAACAATCAAGAAGTTGTGATTTAGAAAAGGTCCTGCGTAATCCATGTGAACTCGCTGCCAATTGCGTTTTGGTATTTCCCAAACATGGGTAGGGGCTTCTCTGGGTTTTTCTTATTCTCACAACATGCCTTACAACTTGCCACCATACTCTCAATATCTGTATCAATGTTTTTCCAGTAACAGTAGTTTCTTGCCAGACTTTTCATCCGCACTATTCCTACGTGTGTTGAATTTAATTCTTGGAGGATTTTAGGTTGTAGCTTTTTTGGAATGACAACTCGATTTCTCTAAAAATAATTCCGTCTTGAAGTGATATTTCTGGGTCAGCGACTTCTCCGTTTAGGAGCTTTTCCTTTAAACGAGAGAGTTCATCGTCAAGTGATGTTTCTTTTTCTATATCTTTAGCCATGATAGTATCGGTTGTTATGCAGTGTATTGTCTCTCTTCGAACAGTGTAATCTTCGTCAACCACATTGATATTCTCTTCTTTTATTGGCAAGGGATGTCTTGAGAGGTAATCTGCATTACAGTGGTCGCTTGATTTTTTTGTGTACAATGTCATAATCAAATCCTGAAAGAAAATTAGCGTATCTAAGCATCCTGGATGAAGTCAACAGTGGTAGTTTCTTGTCTGGATGAAATATGGTCATTAGTGGTTTGTTGTCAATGGCAAGAGTAAACTTCCTTCCGTGTATATAATCAAACATTTTTTTACACCCCCAATATACAGCAGTTGCTTCTCTGTCCAATTGGCTATAGTTGCAATCTGCAGCAGTGAGGGATCTGCTGGCAAACACAATGGGCCCTCTCTTCATTATTTGGCATTTTATGAGAGAGTACAGCTGATAAGCCAACAGGCTAGCATCTGTGGCAAGTATCAACGGGTAAGTCTGGGTTGTATGGAGTAAGAACTGTGTCACTTGCTATCTCTTCTTTAACACGAGTAAAAGCTTTTTCACATTCCTGGGACCAATGAAAACGTTTGTCTTTCCTTAGAAGCTGATGTAAGGGATTTAGCACTGTAGATGCATCTTTGATGAACTTTGAATAGTACTGTACTAGTCCAAGGAATTGACGCACTCCTGTGATATTTGATGGGGCGGGGAGCATCCCTGGATTGCCCTCACCTTTTCTGGTGATTTCTGGATACCATCTTTGCTGATGATATGACCCAGATACTGCACCTTTCTCTCAAAGAACTTGCATTTTTCAACATTTACATGTAGATTGTGTTGTTCCAATTTTTTCTAAGACCTTTATGAGTCTGGATTTGCATTCTTCAAAAGTGCAGCCTTGTACAACAATATCATCAAAATAAGCCACTGTTCCTTCAAGATTTTGTACGACTTGGTCAATAAATTTATGAAATTCATTTGGAGCTGTCTTAATTCCGAAAAACAGTCTTTTGGCTATATATGTACCCTTATGTGTGGTAATTGTCTGGATTTTAGAACTTTCAGAGTCCACTGAAAGATGTAAATAAGCCTTGTAAATGTCTAACGTGCAAAAATAGTTTCCATTCCTCATTTTGTTAAGGATATCCTCTATTCTTGGTATTGGGTAACGACTGTCATGTAGTTGTTGGTTCACAGTTACCTTGTAATCCGCGCAAATACGGACCGATCCATTTGCTTTTGGAATCACAACAATTGGTGTTCCCCACTCAGATTGGTCCACTTTCTCTATTATGTCTTCCTTTTCGAGTTTATCTAGTTCATTTTCAACAGCTTCTCGAAGGGCATGAGGTACTGGTCTGGGTTTTAAGTACATAGGTCTTGAATTATCCTTTAGTTTTAAAGAGCATGTGAAGTTGGGTGTTTTACCAATACATTGTTCAAAAACGCTTGAGAATCTTTGCTTGATAGATTTGACAACAGTGTTGGTATCAACCTCTGGTTTCTTCATACTAACAAGATTAATATTGTGTAAGTTAATTTTCAATTTTCGAATCCAATCCCTTCCAAGAATAGCGTTTTTAGGTAGATTTACAATGTATAGATCTTCTCTGCAAGATCTCCCTTCGTAAGATATGCTTAGGGTACAGACCCCGATTGGTTTGAATATTTGTCCAGTATAAGATCGAAAAAGAGCACTTGTTTTGCAAACTGGAACATGTAAGTCTAGTTTCTTGAAGTCATCATTGTTTATTATGCTAACACGACTTCCAGAATCACACTCGAAACGTTGCTGTTTACCGTTTAGAGATACGTTTATCATCATTCTGTCATCTCCTTCGTCATTCTTTAATACATTTATGATCCGTTGGACGTCGTATTCATATTCAGAATCAATTTCATCAATTCTTTTTACATTTTTCTTTGAATACTGTAATTCCTGTATTCGTTTCGCTATACAAACCTTTTCTATGTGTCCATCTTTATGACAATACCTGCAATTTAGCTCATCTATCAATCGGCAATTTTGTGTTTCATGGTTATTCCTTCCACAGTGCAAACAGACATCTGAAAATCCCAGTCTTTGTAGCCTTTTGTTTTCGTTGTCTTTCTTTTTGCTTGAGGATTCATTAGAGAAATAGTTTTTGGTTGATAAATTGTTGTTTTTAGGTCCAATTTTGTTCTTTGTTGTTTTACTTATTTTGTGAATGTCATTCTGATTATTATTAGTATATAAAATCTGATTGTCAAGTTTTGATGCCTCTATAGCTAAGGCGATTTCTAAGGCTTTTTCAAATGATATTTCACCCAGTTGTAAGAGTTTTTCTCTGATGTCTGAGTCATATAAACCTCTGATGAATTGAGCCCTGAGCATAAGATTTATAACTGATTTTGTACATTTTCCTTCATTACACCCAGATTTGAAATCTGCTGAACAAGCCAGTTGTTTGAGGTCTGTAACATAATTTGTGATTGATTCATTTCCATCTTGTAAACAAGATAAGAATTTGTGCTGTTCTGTAAGTATGTTCTTCTTTGGGCTTAGGTGCTCATTTAGTAATATCAGTAACTCTTGATATGTTTTTGAGTCTGGTTTGTCTGGAGATGTTAGACTACAGATCAGATTGTAGTGCTTAGCACCTAAGCAATTGATTAAAAATAAACCTTTCAATTGTTCTGTCTCTGAATCCTTGTCTGTCAATCCTTTTATTTTAAAACATATTTCTAAATGCTGAGTGTAGCTTTCAAACGTTTCCTTACTTTCATCATAAGCATCAAACATCAAGGCATTGCACTGTAGTAGGTCCTTGGTACTATGTTTTGATCTAGGCTGTTCTGTCTGTTGACTTGTATGTTGTGTCATTAATGTCATAAAATTGTTCAAAGTAGATATAAGGTCTTGTATTTCAGTCATTTTCTTCCTCGTCGCCAAATTATTAAATACAAATTAATACAAAATATATGAACACAACTCTTGATACATGTTTATTTCTTAATAATGAAAGATAAACATTGAATTATTTACAATGTGAAATTATTCCAGTCATATGATTAATATTAAAATAAAAGATAGATTTTTGGGATATATAACAACCCCCAAACTCGACAATCTCTGGGTCCACAGATTGTCGAATTAGTGAGGTTTTATTGTACTTTAAATCATAATCAATTCATTTTTGTGTTTCAAGAAGAACAAACTCATAAAAACTGCTTTTGTAAACTGTATTAGCTTTCAGATTCAATACAACAAAAAATAGGATTGTGTACAACATATTTTAAAAAGCTTATCAATTTAGAAGAGATTCTGTGGTTAAGTAAAATTCAAAATGAGTAAACATGGGAGTGCTAGGAGAATAAAACTTTAATGAAACGTAGGATCCAACCCTAAAAAATGTTTAAAATTATGTTTGGATAAAACCTTTATAAAATATATTACACATATTTATAGTAAAAACAATACATGTGAGTAAACATTTTGTAGAACACAGTTAAAATTATTGAATATTTAAAAACTAAAGCATATAAATTTATTTTGTCTCACCAGAGCTTTGATTAAAATACGTGGTAAATAAATTAAATGTTTTCATGTATAGAAAGAAGTGCAATTTAAAATTTAGATTTATAAAAAAAGTGATGAGTTAAGTTAAGTTTTGTTCCATTGTCAGAAAGAAATCTGTACACAAATTACGCTATCGGTGCTAAGGTCAATAGCTATATCACCTACTGGAGAAACTTATTCATCAAACACCACCTACTGACTGATAGAGAAATTATTTAGTTTATTTTAGTAAATTTTTTGAGGGATAGATTTAGACCATCATAATTGGATTGTATGACAAATTTTTTTATTTGTTTTAAGTCTGTATAAAAATCCTTATTGTTAAATTTTGATGAAACAATAATCATTATTATTATGTTGTTGGATTATGTTATTTATATAATAATTGCGATGTTTTCCATTAGAATTATTCCACATCACAAAGTTTGAGGATGTAGAATCTGACCCCTATCCTCAGGTAAGAAAATAGATGGAAACTCACAAAAGAAAAACCACACAGAGTATAGTAGTCAAAACAAGAAAAAAATCCTGGATGAAAACAAAAACTAGTACAAACTGTGGGGAGAAAAAAATTGAGCATTTAGTTTTGTACCTAGACTGTTCGGCCGCTGCCACACCTGCAGTTCCTCACTGTCTCCAATGTACACCCATGTGGCTGCGTAGTAGGCATCCGTGTAGACTCCGCAGTCATCATCATCTGAACACAGACTGCTGGGACTACAACGCAGCTTCTCCATACTGGCATCTGTAGATCGAGTCAGAGGCCTACACACAGACACACATTGTAAAACTGCATTACGGGACCATAAAGTAGTAATGGTACAACTGTAAAGCACAAATTCTAAATAACTCATAATCCAAACTTAGTCTTAATTTATGGTGATAATCATAAATAGCTTAAATTGTAGCCTATTTGGGTAATCCTTAATCGGCTTTTTGTAAAATATCATTTTCATAACCTAAAATTGCCTATGAATTTCAACGCTCAAAACACTCGGTCATTGTTTTCTTTATCAGCTTTAGTTGTTACTTGCTTAAACCTCTTTTGGTCATAATATGTGGGTTCATTGTTGACACTGGACAAAAATAAATTTCACAACCAAACCACAACAAACCACACTAAAAAAACTAACCAAAGTTGAAATTAAATATTAACCCAAAAGGAACTGGAAAGAAAGCTTCTACAGTAGTCTGCCAAATCTTAGTGATCATATTGCTTAACTGGCAAAAATACTGGCCAAAGTGTTTGATGCGTTGCAACAATCAATCATTGTCTAGGTTGAATTAAAGTTTAATTTTGTCCATTGCCTAAATGATTTCCTTCTTGTTTTGCAGCTTTAGACAAAAATTTGTTACTATTTTAGATGCAATGCATTACTCTGCCAAATCAATAATAAATTAGTATTTTGATACTTAAACTTTTTTACTTTCAACTGTCTAAACGCTGATAAGGAGGATGTATATTGTAGTGGAATATACAATATGTCAAAATGATAAACACAAACTTTGATAACAAAAAATATGACTGTATCTAAAAATGCTGCTTCTTTGTCAGAATCAAGCAATTAAAAAAAAATAAATATAATATGGGATTTATTCTAGTAGAATTTAAGTTGACAAACCTGACTTTCTCTTTCTTCTCCTCCCGCCCTCGCTCCTCAGACTTGGCTCTCACAGCCTCTGCGTGTACCCGAGCCGCGTGTCTCCTCTCCTCCGAGCGGAACCTCTTGTCTGCCTTCTTGTACAGGCGGGGGGCAGGGGTGGTGGCTCGTACAGGGCGGGGAGAGTCTGCAAACCCCGCCGGGGGCTGTACAATGGGCTCTCTCATCCCCCCACTGCGATCCGTCCCGTTGCTTTCCCCACTCACCGCACCTGCTGACTACCACACAAGCTATGTTTGTGGTCATCGTGACTTAGGATTGAATTGATATTTGAATAGTTTGATAAACTTGAAGTGTTTGATAGAGAATTGTATGTGCTAAGAAAAGACCTAGGCCCTCATGTAGATTCAGATCTTACAGGTTAATTAATCAAATTATGTAATTACAACTTATTATAATAGGTAATATAGTGTATAACATTATTATAATTCTCTGAAGTAAAATTTCAGTGATGGCAAAAATAAGTTATTTAGCCATAATTATAATAATTAGAATTAGCTACCATTTTCATTACATACATGTTTTTGCATAATTATATAATTGTAAAAAAATACCAATAGGAGAATAGTTGTCTTGCCATAACTGTCAAACGCTAAAGCCTAAAGGCGGCTCCAGACATGCGCCAGTCGCCAAGCACAAAGTATTTGACGTTCGGCGATCTAGTTGTCTTGCTATTTGCCGATTAACAAGTAGACGTCTACATGCATGTGTTGTTTTCCAAGTAATTGCCCGTTTTTCCTTTGTTTCCGAAATAGCAAATATTTGTTTACTTTGATGAGTCCGAAAATACTGACAATAAACCGAAAAACACGAACATGAATGTTTGCTGCTTGCCAAATTGCCAAACTATCCAAACTACTCGCAATTCGGCGACTTGCTGCTCGGTGCTTGGCGAATGGCGCATGTCTGGAGCTGCCTTTAGTATAAGCCAAGACTACCTGTTACAGATAATTTACTTTTAGAAGAAACATGCAAGTGGCAGTCACATCAACATTTCAATTTAAAATATCTATATTCATTGAGCAGCATATACAATGTAGTCAACAGATGATTGCCAATCTATATTCACTGGGTGTTGTCGCTGTATTAAAAGGTGTCTGATACTTAAAGGTGGAGAAGCATGAACGTTGCGACCACAGTGGTAACAAGCAGATTGTTATGGGATTGTCGCCATATTGTGTCAGATAGTTACTGGTGGAGAAGCGTACATTGCGACCACAGTGGTGACAAGCAGATTGTTACTTGATTGTCGCTATATTGTGTCAGATAGTTACTGGTGGAGAAGCGTACATTGCGACCACAGTGGTGACAAGCAGATTGTTACTTGATTGTTGCTATATTGTGTCAGATAGTTACTGGTGGAGAAGCGTACATTGCGACCACAGTGGTGACAAGCAGATTGTTACTTGATTGTCGCTATATTGTGTCAGATAGTTACTGGTGGAGAAGCGTACATTGCGACCACAGTGGTGACAAGCAGGTTGTTTTTTGATTGTCACTGTATTGTGTCAGATACTTACTGGTGGAGACGTGTGTACATTGCGACCACAGTGGTGACAAGCAGGTTGTTCTGTGATTGTAACTGTAGCACTGCTGTGTTCACTGTAGAACACTGAGTCTGACCCAGGACTGACAGAGCGCAGACTCTCTGCACTCAGTGCTTTCAGTCTTGCTGACTCTGGACTTGAGATTCCCTACAAAACACATGTAACTGAAAATTCTGTAATGTCATCAAATAAAATACTGAATGGATATAGAATAACCACAAAAAGACCAATTAACACAAGACAAAACGATAAGACCTATGTAGCCACAAATTAACCGGATAATTAAGATGACTTTATGTGGCAATAAATGGACCCCAACACTTTAACTTTTGAAGGTGAATAGGTGAGTTATGAGTTTGGCAATCCAACACACCAAAACAAGTAGCTGTGTGGTTATTAAGCTTCACTATTATTAAGGAGGTGTCATGTTTAATCCTGGGAGAAGTCTGTAGCTCTTTGATTGACGTTAGCTAGGCCAGCTGTCACTGACAATTGAGTTTCTAATAAATCATCGTCCAAGAGTTAGCTGGGCTTAGTCAGTATAAATATTGTGTCAACCAATCGACGATAATTTTAGTTTGTTTATGTATGAATCTTTGGTTAAAACCTGTCTTAGTTATATCTCAGCTGTCAGTGGTGATACCATTAAACATGTGCAACGTTTAATTTATGCAGGGTGGCACGAAAAGGATGGTTAGATTTGAACTGCATAATACTAGTTGTGGGGGAAGGGGTGGGTCCACTGCCAGCCGCCTGTAAGTCAACCATAGTATCCAATTTGCCGTGAGATGGCGCAGTGGATGGTTGAGCACCACGTTTTTGCTGTGGAACAGATTTACAGAAACAGTGAATCTTTTATTACTGCACTGGACTGGTTCGTGATCGCAGATCAATATCACGTTGGGTGACTGCATTTCGGACAAAAGGGTTTGTCATAGCTCATAAGTGGTAAATCTACTGGACGTTTACGAACGGCAGTTACTCCACAAAACATAGAGACCATAAGAGCATTGGTGCTTCAAAGTCTGCTACGTTCTTTTTATGGTTTTTTAAAATTGTATTTATAAATTTGTATTGTTTGATTGTCATAGCCCACTAGCAACTTTGTAAATTACAAGGTTATTTTTTGTAATGGGGCAATTGAAAGTGTCCAGAAACAAGTCAGTAAAATTTATGTGTAAGATCATTTGTGTTATATTAATTTTCAAACCGACCATCATTTTTGCGCAAGCCTGTATTTATTCAAATACGAAATTAAGTATTTAACACATTAATAATTTACGAGCTGCTAAATTCTCACGAGACTCATGTATAGCTTTATTGAATAGAATATTTGTGTCTAATGTCAAAGCCCAACTTAACCTGCAGTTAGACCCCAAGACTTACCTTGGACTTGCCCCGTCTGCTAGGACTGCCGCCGGGACTGCGCACAGCCTCATGGCCAGGGAAGAGACGAGACCCAGCCTTCAGTGTAGCTCCCTCTTCCACCCCTACAGGACTGGGTGACTTGGCAGCTATGGAGCTCCGCCGTCGATTGTTCTCATCACCACTGTTGCTTCTCCGTCTTGCACTGTGACGTTGTACAGTTAGTCATTTGTCACCAATTTTGAATGGTCCTTAATTAATTACTGATCAAGGGATTCATAAATGACTGCTCCGAGTGCTTAAATAGTTTTTGTATGCATTTTTCCCAAGTATACACCTTGTTATGCTTAATAATTAATTTCAGATTAACTCACTGTACTAAAAACACTCCCACAAACAGTAAATTTTTTTATAAATATTTAAATAAAATTATTTAATTTAAAAAAATCCACCGAAGATCAGGTATCTAATTGAAAAAAAATTAACAAAAAGTATTACGGTAACAGGACCACGAAATAATCTAATTCTAAATATAAATATAAATTCTAATGATAAATTTCCTGCCAATCTGGCATCATTCTGTTATCCCATAAATTCGCTCTGTAGTTTAATCCTTGTACGATTCCCAGTGCATGGACAAACTGAGTAGCCTGTTAATTTTGTTTATTTATGCCAAGGTGTTTTATATTTTATAATGAGATGTTCAAGTCTTTATCACGGATATTTCCAGGATTACAATGGCCTAACTTCATTGGCTGAGTTAAGCATCGGGAAGTAAACAGCACAAATGTGTATCAACTTAGTGTTACACAAGTGTTTGGACAGTTACCGGTTGTGTGATGTGGGACTTCTTCCCCCGGACTTCCTTCTAGGACTCTCCCTAGATCTCCGTTGACGGCCACAGGCACACTCCCCACTCGAGTCTTCCGATGACTCACCTCCCATCCCGTTACTAACCACCACCTAGTGACAGAAAACACTTGTTTTGAAATCCTTGTAAGATAAACTGAACTATTACAAACGGTGTCAGTAAAAAAATGTACAGTTTTTGCATTTGTATTGTGCAAAATTGGAAAAAAATTTAAAATAAAACTGAACAAATAAGTGAAAAAAACACACACAAAAAATGCCAATGACTAACATTAAGTTAAATGTTAGAATAATAGAACAAAACTGTTGACTCAGTATTTACCTAAGTTACGGTTTTGAATTAAATTAAAATTATAAAGGTTATTAACTGGTAGGAACAGCTATTAAAAGGTTAGTTAAGTAGAGTAATTAACTAATTGAACACCTTATGAGTTCAGATGGTTCACGTGAGAAACATATTAGCTTAGATTAATTGCAGGCCTGTGATTTGCATGTGTACGCTTTGGCCCAAGAGATGATTGCGCCCCTCTCTACCTACCTTGTGGGAGAATTCTTTATTTTGTGCCCCTAAATAACCTAAAAATCTTGCGCGGTGGGCCTAGGCCCATTTATTAAAATGGTCCTATTTGAACACAGACGCTACGCATATTAATTTCAGTTGAACTCATACTTGTAGAATATGCACAATATCTTCACAGAGGGTTTTTTTTAATAGGTAGGTAAACTTCATTTAAAAATTATCTTTTTCTGTATCTTAAACTCCTGCGGAGGTTAAATGTATACACAACTCCACAAAAATACCTTCTTTTACAAGAATTATGTTTAAAAAATAAAGTGGTCATATTCAAGTACCTGTGTTGGTGTATGTTTCCCTGATGGTTGGTTGGGACTTGCATTTTTACTTTTTGGTTTTTTAGGCACCTCTTGTTCCCCATCTCTGACTGGAGATTTGATGGGATACATGGCTCTCTGGGGAGTTACAACTGTAAAGCAAAGAGTTATATCACACATTGATTATAAAGAACTGAGGGTGGAAGAAAAATACTTTATCCTAAGAAAGGTACTATAGGTGATTGAGATTAGAAAAAAATATTTATCATATGGTAATTTTAGAGGAGTGTTAAAATAAAAATATTAGTCAGGTACAGAGTCTAGGTACTTCAATGACTTACATCAATTAAGTCAACCCCTATTATTTTGGTACTGTCTTTTTTGGAAATATGTAAGCGGATGTAGAACTGAAGAAACCTATTGTAATCCTTGTATTACTCTATGGTGAATATATTTTTTTATTTTTGATTCTTGAATCTTCTTCTTCTTGAAACTAGGAATGGAAGTCATTGATAGCATGTAATATGAAAGTAACACAAGCAAAGGTGTAAAATACGTCCCTCAACCCACGTGTGTTAATTTATCTCACCAATCATTGATGAAGCTCAAAACTAGTTTAATATAAACTAAAATATTATTCATTGTAAAAGATAAATTAAATACCAGAACCCATAAACCAGTTTTCTTTACTTTTCAATGTTTAAAATGTAACTACCCCATTAAAAATGCCGCTAAAGGAGTTTTAGATTAAAACCAACTGGAACTTCATTACAAAGCGTTTTTAGTGAATTGAAATTAAACTTAAAAAAATCCATAATTCAGGATTGTAATGGTGTACATGAGAGTTATATCCAACCTGTGGGTGGACTAGAAGCCTGATCTTTTTGAGGTGACGACAGCTCTAATTTGAAACTTTTCTTTGCTTCAATTCGTTCCTCTTCAGTCCACGACCTATTACAAAGATTGATTAATGAAAGAAGTCACACAACACGTGGTTTGCTAAAACATATTTTATTCAAACGTCAGATAATAAAAATACTCCATACAATTCACATCAGGATCACAACCTTTTTTCATCGTTAAAATGGTAGATGCATGAAACAGAAGAAATATGTATTTTACAGATGTAAGATGTATGGTGATGTGTTAAGTGTATATGACTGTATTGGTGTATTTGGTTATGGTAACTAAATGAGGCGGGAGGTCAACAGAGCTCTGTTAACACGTTGAATGTGAGGGGCGAGAATTCCGTCCCGCCGTACCGGCACCACTGCACAGGGCGGGAAAAATGTCGTTCTCCTTGCATAACGACAACCTTGATTCAGTGTATTCAGCCTCGCACCAGGAACGTTGTTTCCGATTGCCGCTTATTGTGCCAGTTTTATACTTCAATCCAGAATAATTTGTTTTCGTTTTCAGATACGACTATTTTACCGTTGGAAGGGACTGTTCTAAATTAAGTGTTGTATAGGGTTTTGGCTTGGATTTAGTAAAACAAAATAGAATAATGATGCCTTTTTGCAATATTTTTTTATGGTGTATCCGGATTTTTCGTCCCTGCTTTCCCTCCATTTGGCAAAACTGAGGGCCTGCTGTTTAGTACTGTTTGCCCAGGGTAGCCTGATTGCTGGTGTCTCAATTCTCTGTACAGTATCTTACTTCACAAAGAGCCCCTTTCTGTTTCCCAAGGGTATATTTCAGAGTGAACACTTACCTAGACTTGGATCGTTCCTCTACAGGGGATTCGTAGTCACCGGGTGAAGAACACCCTCCACTCCTATCAGACTGCCTTTTCTCTCCACTGCTGCCGTCAACACTGTAACTAAAACACATGAATCGGTGCTTAACAATCACATCAACAATTATCTATATAAATAAAATTAGAGTTTTGTCTGTACTTTGCTCAGAATTATATACTTTTAGGTTATTTTTACGTTTTATACATTAAAGAAGCAGAAACGAGTCTTATCTCTATTTCTGTCTGTCTGTCTGTCTTTCCCTTTGTCTGTAACACTCAAGATGGCATTTTACGCAATCTTCTCCGTGAAAACCAGAGTACCTATCAAGATCCAAGTCATTTTAATGTATTCACTGGATTGGCGAGAGTGTCTTTAGTGATTTAAATATAGCCTCACTACTTTGTAAATAAAATTACGGACGTTCAAAAATGCAGTTTTGTGTGATATTTGTCAAATTTTCGTTCAATTTTTATCACATAATCGTCTATGAAATAACGAACAGCTGTTCAAGAGGTTCGGTTCAAGATTGTTTTTTCTAGCTGTCAATGATATGTTTACAAATGTTGTTTACAAATACCGCAACCATTTCGAATCACGTTTTGTAAGCAAATCTCAACCAAGTGAGATTAAAAACGTTTTTCTTACATAACGGATTTAATTAATCGCAAGTGCAATAATATAGTCTAATAGAGTAACCGTAAATGAAATTAAATAACTAGACATCGTCCAAATCGGAACCAGAAATTCTTTGAGTATAAAATGTTTCTTGAGTTTTGACAACCAGAAAGAAGACCTTGAATCAGTGTTGTATAGGGCTGGACACTGAAATGATCGTCGCCAATAGCTTACAAAAAAGGTTTCCACTCATTGACGGCGCTTCAATGGCGGTTGTGTAAAGTGTAAAGTAAAAAATCACAACTGCAGTGGGTGATTGTAACAGAGGTTTAACAGAGGAAGTGCTAAACTCGCTTTTCCAATGTGTCACTTTCTGTTTCTACTCACCGTGTGATGCAATCGCTGGACCATACAGCCAATAGGCCCATAGCTCATATCTTGGGTACGTAAGCCTACATATTTATTCATAACAACCTTTTTGACGACGATCCTTGATACCGGTACTTTTCCATAGAATACATGGCCTACCTACTTAAGAAATATAATTACAAATGACCAAAACCCCAACATTGTGTGATTTTCGTCACATTTCCTTCTAATGTTAATAGATATACTAATCATTGTTTAGAGAATGCGTAATCTATTAAATAACAAAAAGTTGTTTGGGTAAGGTTGTTTTTTTTTCAAACTGACACCGATAAGTTTACGCTATAACTTTTTACGAGAAAATCCAAAAGCAAGAGATCAATAACCTTGGGACTAGATATTAATGTATTTAATTGGTTGAATGTACTATAGTTCTTAGGTAGGTTCTTACGTAGGTACTGGTTCTTTTCCTTAGAACCGGTGGTAGCTGCTAGAATCATTTTTACGTAGGTACCAACACATCACTGTAGTTTACAAATTAGTTATCGTTGGTGTTGCACCTTATTTATTAGAGCCGTCCGTATTCAATTTAAGTGATGTCTTAACTCTGTATAAGTTTTGCTTTTTCTGTCTGGATTCCAAATCTTAGCTTACCCGGTATGCTAAGAAAATGATAACCTATTTGAGTAAAACATTTGTTGGGCAAACCATCATGAATTGTTTACGCCTTTATATTGTTTATGTATCAATAGTTCGTGGCCTTTTTTGGATTGTTGTGTGTATGTCTGTTGGTAACGCATTAATGTCCTTATTTCTCAGTGTTTCACGGAATGGACAAGAGCACCTTTGATACTGAAAATGTCAACCGGAATAAAGTGTTAAATGGTGAGGTTGAGGTAGTACTTTAAATACGTTTAAGTTAACCGATGTGGAAAGTAACTTTCAATTATAGGCCTACTTTAGGGCTACGCTTCATGGATCTATAAAACATTTTTTAGTTTAATCATTGGACATATGGACCATAACGATCCGGGTGACATTTAATTGCGAAGCATTTATTTTGGCTTGAACTGTCAGATACTGTATTTGCGAAGGTTTATATATAATAGTTTTGAATGCATATCTGCAAATATGAAACTAACTGCTGGTCTTAATCTTAATATAAGAAGGTTTCAACTGACTACTATAAGATCCCCGTGCGTAGAACGGGCACACAGCTAGTTATTTAACTATTTAGACTTAATTTGTCAGATATAAGCCTTTATGAGTAGTTAAAACATATCTACTTACGACTATTTATGACATACTTACTCTTTTATAGATTAAATTTTACAAGTTCTGCTGCTATAAGGAGAGAAAAGTTTAGTTTAAATGTTAATGTAGTATATAATACACTGCCACAGCAAACCTGCAGAGTAAGCAAATTACCACTTGTCTGATTGGATTTTTAATAAATAAAAAAAATACATAAAGGTTTCCCTGTTACGTACATCTCTTTTCAACCTGTCCTACTTAACTGAATTTTTACGATAGAGGTGTCTTTTTTAAAGCTTGTGATCTAGCGCACCAGCTAATGGTAATTAAAAAGGTAATTTCTTTTAGGGCTTTGCGCCTCTCCCGTTTGATTGTTGTTCTATGTAAATTTGTATTGTCTATCAACAGACGATGTGAACTTTGAGGAAATACATTTCTCATCATTTATCAACTTGTATTACCTCCCTGAGCTACTGCTTTCCCCACTGATAGAATCATTGTCTTTCTGTTTCTTCTCGGCAGGCATCTCTATGGTCTTATCTTTCTCTTCCTTCGCTGGTGGTGGGGGCGAACAAGGCACCTGTAATAAAATATAGTTATAGTTTTACGTATCCGTTGTAAACAAAGTTTTTGTACAAAAGCACACATTTAATCATGAATAAGTTACAAAATGCTGAAAGGCAGTCAGTAACTAATTTTAAAATTTATACCAAATGATTTATACCATAAGACTATGTTTCAAAAGCTTTGATGGTTACAAGAAAACACCCAAGTTAAGATCACAATGAGTTCTAACGAAGTTTAGTTGCCTAGGAGGATGTCAATGTTATTCTTTCACAATAAGAAAACTGAATTTCTTAATTTAAAACGTATAATACATAGCATTATTGCTGAGGAGTATATGCTTTAAAAACACATATCTCCTTCAAAATAAAACCATTAAGTAGCTCAACATTGTTAACAAACCTGCTGTACTTCCTCGATGGCTTCACCACGTGCTAGGCTGTACAGTGAGGAGCCGCTCTCGAAGGAGCTGCCCGTGACCGACTGAGCCACACTGGTGGCCGTCGTACCAGTCGCTGATTGGCCAGAGTCCCCTCTCAGCAGCCGAGAACTCGTGTCTGTCCCGGAATTGTTCTCGGTGGCTGTGGCGTAATCTTCCGTCGTCGTTGATGTTTCCGACATATCTGTGTTTGTCTTTCCAGAGTCCGATCTCGCCAACATGTCTGAAAAATAAGTTTGGGGTTAACAGTGAGTCATTAAAATGGAGTATAGGTAAAAAAGAAAAGCGTTAGCAATAAAATAATTAACTACGGTTTGAACTCATCTTTACAGCACTCATCCACATATTACATTTTTAAGCATTTAGTGACAACATTTACAGGAAAATGTCTATGATAAGATGGATGAAAAAAGGTAAGTATAAGACCCGTCTTAATATTAACGCTTGCACTAAATGATGTTGCAGGATTTCATTCAATTCTGATCTCCCCTTGAGCTATTTCTTAGTACTGTAATAAAAACTAACTTTTAGCTAAAGCCTGTTATATATTGACATTCAAAGTTTTAGCTAAACTACAAAGCAGGACATTTTCAAACACTTCAAATTATGTTCTAATATGAAGTCTTCAGAGTAGTAGTTTCTTAAAAAAAAAAATAGTTTAAAGATTTTATAATTTGTGACTTGAACAATAATGTGTTCTCAAACAAGTGTTTTCATTGGTTACCAACCACTGTGTTGGTGGGTTTCTCCTTCTGGTGGACGCAAATCAGGACTTCTTCTTCTTGCTCTGTGACTAGGTGAGAGTGATTGTTCTATTCGTCTGATAACAGAAAGTATAAAACTCAATACCACTATAACAAATAAAAAAAATTAATACAAAATGGTAACTGGACAACTATTTTCACTGTTTTAACAGTTTTTAAAGACATTAATGTTCAGAAATTAAATTTATGGTACTTATTTTTTGAGGTACCACTTAATCACTTTTAAGATTAAAATGAGTCTCTAAACAATGTTTACATTAGACATATAAAGCATTATTAGTCTTATTTTTATATTATTTAGGCTGGTAAAGCAATGTTTTCTCTAAAAGTATCCTATGGATACATCAAGCATAAAACTTACGTTTTGAAATAAGGCAGTGTGTTTTTGATGATTGGTTTTCCAGGATCAGTACGGGGGTCCTGAGTAGGTGTGGTAACGGCGACTGTAGGCACGGTTTGTAGCTGATCCACGGTGCCTCGCACTCGCGGGGACAGAGGAGGCTGCAGCAACAAAATATTACACTGACAGACAAGACAGATTCATAACACAGACAAGAGGGTTCCATTACCAGAGCTTGTTATTACAGTACTCTCTCGCTCATCCGGATCGGCCTTGTCCGGACTCCCGCTAGTCCGGATCGGCAATCGTGATTTTTTTTTTTTGCGGCACAGTATTATCAAAAAAATTCCGGATCGGCAATCGTGATTTTTTTTCTAGCGCCGCAGTACGTATATTCAAATTAAAACGGACATAACTTTACGTTTCAACGCCTTCAATTTATTGTGCGAGCAAGCCCGCATCACATTAAAGGCATACATTTTGCGTTTTCAGGCGTTTATTGAAAAATCAATAATCATAGTGTCGACAACACGTGCCATTTCGGGAGTGGGAGGGGGCGTGTCATTAACCTCTGTCTGACCGTCTGCGACCTCACCTGTACCTGTCAATCTGACCGTTGCGTCACGTGCATATTGTGTTCTGTATGTGAGTTCTTTAAAGTTTGACTGTTGCATTGTGCGTATTGTGTTCTGTGTGTGAGTTGTTTAAAGTCTGACCGTTGCGTTGTGCGTTTTGTGTTCTGTATGTGAGTTCTGAACTGTCATAAAATGAGTTGTGATAAACGTAAGAAGTTGTTTGTGTCAGTTGAAGAGAAACTCCGTGCTATCAAGCGTATTGATGCTGGTGAAACGGCGTAAAAGGTTGCCTTCGAGCTAGGAATTGGGACAAGTACCGTTTCAGACTGGAGAAAAAATCGTGAACAAATTGAAAAATGGTGCACCTCTCAACCTAGTGTAAGCGCAAGTAAGGTGAGAAAAACAATGCGTACCAGTAAACATAACGAAGTTGAAGAGGCGTTATTTTTGTGGCACGAACATTAAAGAGGTAAAGGTGTTCCTGTTAATGGCCCCATGCTCCAAGAAAAAGCTAAGTTTTTCAAACGTGAAATTGAGGGGGATGATGGAAAATTCGCTGCCAGTGACGGATGGTTAGATCGCTGGAAAAAGCGATATGGGGTTCGGCAATTGTCCGTAAGTGGGGAAGCTTTATCTGGGAACAAAGACGCTGTCCCAGAATTTAAGACTTTCCTTCATAATCTCCTTGACGAAGAAGGAATTACCGGCGATCAGCTGTACAACTGCGACGAAACTGGCTTGAACTATAAAATGTTGCCCACAAAAACGCTTGCCTCAAAAAAAGAAGCTGCTGCACCGGGGTACAAAAAAAGCAAGGAAAGAGTCACGGTGTTAGCTTGCTGCAATGTCACTGGCAACCACAAGCTCAGGTTAACTCTGATTGGAAAATCAAAGAAGCCCCTTCAAGAATTTGAAGAAAGACGAAGTGTTGCCATTATGGTACACTAACCAGCAAAAGGCTTGGATGAATTCGGCTATTTTTAAGACTTGGTTTTTTACTGAATTTGTTCCAAGCGTAGAAAAATATCTAGCAGCTAACAACCTGCCAAGAAAAGCAATTCTGTTGTTAGATAATGCTTCGACTCACCCCATTGCTAACGAGTTAAAGGACGAGGACATTAAAGCAGTTTTTTTGCCACCAAATGTCACTGCCCTTTGTCAGCCAATGGACCAAGGAGTACTTCAAGCACTTAAGTTGAAATACCGCCACCGACTTCTTTCTCACATCATATCGGCAATAGACCTTGATGAAGATTACATCACTGCATTAAAGAAAATTGATGTCTTGGATGTAATTAGGTGGGTGGCTGAAGGATGGGAAGAAATCCCGCCCATGACGATTGTTTCATCGTGGAAAGCTCTGTTAGACCACGAGGGCAACAAATTCACGGAGATTGACGGCGGGGAATTTAAACAAGATGAGAACCATGTGGAAACAGAAAATGTTGTCTCACTGTTGGAGAAAATTCCTGGATGTGACGAAGTTAATGAAAGTGATGTACTAGAGTGGATGAACAATGACGACGAAGATGAAATCACCGACGACGACTTCATAAGAATGGTGTCAAATGACGACGAAGTGGTGGACGAAGAGGACCTACCTGAACCCAAGCCAACCATTCCACACTCGGAAGGGTTCAAGATGCTGGACGGAGCCCTGGAGTACGTCAGTCGTCTAGATGGCGTGTCTGCTGCCGACATAATGTGCTTGCGGAAGCTGAGGGACATGGCGGCAAAACAACGAGCCAAGACGGTAAAGCAGGCCACGATCAAAGACTTTTTCAAAACATAAGTCGTACTGAACTGTAAGTTACGTCAGTTTTAAAATACGTTACAGTACATTTTTTTCAATTAACTTATAGAGTAAACTGTCTAAAGTTACTTTACTGTATTTTTTATTGACGTAAAGTTTGTGAGGTTTAATTTTCCAATTGTACATAGCTTTTTGTTTTTTTTTTGACAGGTTAACTTCCTAAAAGTAGGCCTATGTAGCTAAAGTTTTATTTTTTGCTTTGTTATTTACGTCAAGTTTGTGAGGTTTAATTTTCCAATTGTAACTTTTTGTTTTTATTATGACAGTTACAACTTCCTAAAAGTAGGCCTATGTTGCAAAAGTTTTCTTTTTTGCTTTGTTATTTACGTAAAGTTTGTGAGGATTAATTTTCCAATTGTAACTTTTTGTTTTTTATGACAGTTACAACTTCCTAAAAATAGGCCTATCTAGCTAAAGTTTTCTTTTTTGCTTTGTTATTTACGTCAAGTTTGTGTTCACGTTTATATTTTGTTGTTGCAATAAAACAATTTTATGTTCATTTCGTGAACTATTTATTTTACTCCTGTGATTCATTGCTGTACTGTTGTACTGTATAGGCTACTGTAAATACAGTAGTTTATACAGTACATTTAACGTATGGTAAATTGCTTTGTTTTTTACAGTTCCCGCATTACTATGCTATATTTTTTATCAATACAGTACAGTAGTGCTATTGTAAATTACAGTAAAATAGCCGACTGTAATTTATTACGATAGTTTTAACTTGTTTTAGACGTTCCCGTTTGTATTAGCGCGTGTTTTGACGAAACCGCTCGCCGTAACGGCAACATTTACGAATATTTGCTTGACTCTCGATAGTCCGGATTTTTCGTAATCCGGACCGGACGTCCGCCACATTAGTCCGGATGAGCGAGAGTCTACTGTATTACAAGGATGCAAATTGAAAATATTTCATCAGAGTTAAAACTAGGTTATGCTGAACCATCTTGGTGAATCAGTTGAATCGTATGGCTGAGAAAACATTTCAATGATTTAATGACCACTGACATTTAACTAGCACATATTTAATTTTGATTGATGCACTTTACATATAGGAACCGCCTGACCCATTTGATAATAAAAATAAGCATACAGTAGTAATGATAGCTGACCATTAAACAAAATTAATAAATTTAACCTAACATTTTCAAGATTGCTATTTATATTTAGATACCTAACAATAATATACCAAATACCTAAACGATCGAGTAATGTTTAAATTTCTTAATAGGTACGTTTTTGGTTATTGGCATTATTAAAATATACATTTTCCTGTCTTATTACCACCCAATGCTGACTAGTTGTTAGAAAGCAAAATAACACAATGGTTGGATAACAAACTCGGACCTTGACAAATGATTTGATTCAACTTTGATAATAGCTGCAGTTTTATAAATGGGCGAATTTGTAACTTGTACTAAGAGAACAATATAAACAATAAACATAAACATGAGGCGGATTCAAAAATTTCAGAGAATTGAAAAATTTACCGGTATAAACTGAGGGAAAACAATACCTGCACTACCTCCTCAGGAAGTAGCATACTTACTTGTTCAGCATCCAAGTCTTCAGCGTCCAAGGCCTCGGTGTCCATTGACGACCGTTGCTGATGCTGCAACATTAGGAGATGTTTCCTTCGAGACGAGGGAGTCATGTTCATGATGGCGGCCGACGGACTCAGCGAGGAACTGAGGTCTGAGCAGCTCACACCTGTACCTCCTCCGTTGTTGTCAGAGTCTGCGTGTAGGATCTGGGCAAAACAACAGTCCAACACCAATGTAACGCTGGGCAATAGATTAGGCTGAACCACATCATCGATATGAGACATCAACATAATATCAAAATCACATCAATATGAGTGAAGTACAAGTATATCAATTATCAATTGAGATGAGGATGCCACCTAGGTGCATAAATTAATCAACCCAAATATGAGTGATGGATGAGTGTAGAACGGAGTGAGATGATCACACAGACAAAAAAAGTAGTTATCAAAAGAGGAAATCACTCCGTTGACTGGCTAGCTGAGTGGTTACAGTGCTCGCCTTTTCGCCTAACAATCAAAATTCTGCAGGATCGATCCTGAGAAAGGTCAGTAGCAATTCGATGGTTAGAAACTGCACCCAGCTATTCCTGATCATTGAGCTTTAAATCAATTATCCTGACTAATGAACAGCTGATCTTAGTCCTTAAAAAAGCTACACAGATCATCAGACTCCATCCTACACCCCACCTTCATTCATATTTGGGTTAAAATACACACATATGGAGATAATAATTGAAAAGTAATTACAAAATCACTCAACCTACTTCGAATAACTACCACTACAGTAGACCACATAAAAATGGTACTGGAGATTTAAAGGTTAATGTAGTGTTGCCAGAACAACTATTATAATTACTATTGGATAATTTTTTATGTACATCAGTACCATACTCTCTGATTTTTAAAATTGATTTACCGTAGTCTGAGACTCGTTCCAGATGCCGTCGCTATGATCACGTGTGTTGAGAGAATCCGAGGATGCGAAGGGTGACTGTGCCTTGGCCGGGGGCTTGGGGTCGGCCATGGACATGAGTCCGCTGTCTGCATCCTCGCCCGTGCTCTGCTTGCGGAACAATCCATGCGATCCGTAGATTAGGTTCTCGTGAAACTCCTCCTCCTGGGAGTCTGCGGATATCTGAAGTGTCAGAGTAACATTAGTTAACGTTTATTCACGATTTAGCCATTTATAACTGACAGTTATTATATGCTTTTTTCCAAGAAAATGTTCAACAGTAAATTTGAATTGTTTTCAACACCTCTTAACACAACTGAGTATTAAAGAATGCTAATGGCTATTTTAATAAAATATTTATACATCTTAGGGACACCAATTCAAATCTCCTGACCCCAAAATACAAGCACACTCCAGTATGACATAAGTGTTCTGTTAGACACATATGAAGAAAGTATAGGGAAAAGTAAACAAATACATTATTGTAGTTTTTAATTATACGTTAATTTTGGAAGTGCCTCTTCTACCTGCTCTGCCACTGACAGGTGGGGTCCCACACAAACAATACCAGTAACCTGCTAGTATTAGTTTAGACATGATTTCTAGGTAGCAGGATAAGCCAGACACAGTCTTCTAAAGTTTAAAAAAGTTATCCTTGCACAGTTGTAAATGGATGTTTTGCCTTATTACTCATGACGTCGCTATATCTTGGCTTAAAAGAGTTAATTGTGGGATTAAACAAGATTATAATGTAAACATCGCACTCACTAACTGTTTCACAGGACTAGTGGCTTCAGACCCCGAGAATGCTGAGGAGCCTGATCTCGTCTGCTTCTCCGATGGTTCGTCAATGGAAGTATTCTGATAACAAGCCTCACAATCTGATTGGGTCGCTCCATCCCCTCGTTCTTCCTTTTCTCTAGCTTGTGCTTCCAATATCTCTCCGTCAGATACAGTTTTGCCGAGTAATCTTTTTCTACCTCTTCTCTCCAGGGGTTCAAAGTCTATAAGGATTTCCTTTGGACTTGTTGGAAGAAAGGGTGATCTGAAATAAATATGTCAACTATTTTAATCCTTATTTTAAGCAATAGCACCTTTTTTCCAATAAAAAAATTCAAAAATCCAACAATCTGAATGGACTGAAGTATGTAGTGTAGATGGGAATCAAATCGTAATAATTGCTTGTTTTATGAAACCAATTCGTAAAGAGTTTTAAAGCAGTAAGGAGTAAGGGGTGGTTACACTAATCTGCCAAAACTAAATACGTAGGCCTAAGCATACTGAGAGCTTTGACAACTAATTTTGATAGTTCTGAAAAATTAGGAGGGTGGTACATTGTATGTAAAATGAACACCAGGAAAAAAAACTGGACAGGTTTAACTACACTCTTGGATATAACTCTATGTCATAATTTTTTACTAAGTTTGATTAAGATTAACAACTTGTTCAGTGGCTGTATATTGTTTTTCTTCTAGCTGACTAGTTAAAAAAATGTGAAATCCGAGCTTAAGTATGATATATCAAAACTCATAGTTTGAGGTAGGTACATATATTTATACCGGAGATGTATTGATGACATAATTAATCAACTCTTTACACTGAAAACTGACAAATTTCTTCTCTATACTTAACCGATAAATTAAAAATCGGTACTACACCAATTGATCGTATCATAGTCCATTCTCAGGACTATTTTTCACCAGAAGTCTTACGCCAGCTGTAAACCTTTTTTTAAAGTGACATTGAGAACATCCTTCACAGTCTCAGCAAAATCGTGAACATCTTCTCTGCTATATTCCTAAAATCTATCTTTGATTTCAATGTTGATCATATAACTGGAATAGTTCCATATTATAAATAATTCAATGTTTACCTTTTATTATTAAGAAATAAACATGCCTCAAGAGTTGTGATCATATATTTTGTATTAATTAATTTTTTATTTAATATCTGCTCAAGCTTTTATGTATAACATTTCTATACTATTGCTTAAAATATCATTTCACCCTCTGAGATATCCATAGGATGATCGATCGTAAATCTTACCGAGGAGGCTCCTCAGATTGGGTTCGTTGCAGAGGCTCATGGGAGTCAGCTGTGTTTGTGTTGGTGTTTGCTGCCCCCACCCCAAATTGTCCCACCTCAGAGAAGCTTTTCATCAGTCTTCGGTTGTTCTTGTCACCATTAGTTTGTGCACCTTGTGATACCATTCGAACCTGGGAGATGAACACAAGTTGGAACCTATCAATTCGTCACTTGCAAGACGAAAGGGCAATCATATGGGGGTCATTTGTAACTATGCCTCCTCGTCTTGCAAGAGTTGAATTACAAGGACATTTGTTTCATTGCAATATGTTGAATTAGTGAGTGAAAATTTAAAAACGTACGTTTTCATGTCCCTGGCCTTTTACTTCGTAGCTACTGGATTTGTAGTTGATTATTATGTGTTTTAATATTTTTTGGGACGGGGGCAACATGTTACACACATTTATTTGGTTTTAAATAGGTTCTAGGTATTTTTTTCGTATTTTTAAAGTCTCGAAATTCACGACCATGACGTGTCCCTAGGGTACATTTTCCAACTTTCACGCTGTTTTTAGACTAATTATTCATGCAGCAATATATAAAGCCATATTTTTATGTCATCAATGGTTATTAAACGTACAAAAAAGGAGCATATTATAATTTTATTGTCATTGCAAACTGACTACCATGACATAATAAGTCTGTCCCTCGATTTGGCGTCACGACCATTTGGGAAAATTTTTCAACTTTGGAGCACGACAGTGGCAAGCCTGGCGTTGATGGAGTCAGTTGGTTTTAGAGACTAGTTCGGGGTGTACGTCAGGATTGTAGTGCCGGTCGTTTCGAGTTGAAAGGAGGAATTACAAGATTAATACAGGAAAGGTTGTGTTTTTTGTAATTTTGGTGTGTCCATGACCGTACATAGTCATTCGATGAAGTAGACATGGTGTTAATTTTTGTTTATAAGATATTTCAATTGCTAGATTAACCTAGAAGTCCACTTTGTATCCTCGAACATGAGGTGCAGAGCTACCGCCAGAACAGAGCCAAATAACACGTAATTTCACGACCAAAGTTTCACGACCATCGCGGGTTTTTTCACGACCTATCCAGCCTTATGGATTATAGTGTGTTTGGTCGTGACAATAACTTTAATATAATTGTAATTTGAACAGTTTAGTTCAATTGAAACACATATTTTTATTATAACTAATAGTATAATTAAAGGATTGTTTAGAAAGATTTAGATTTTTTTATAAAATTCACGACCGTACCGCTTGTCCCTGACCATCACGTTTATGATTTCTGTCATAAAAATTTCAAAAATTAAAATATCGTCATATTTCAATCTTTTATACACAAAAGAAGCACGCCTCTATGCAAACATAACGATTTTTCGGGTCTCAGGTAAGTTTTTTCGGAGTTATACAAACTTAAAAAGATATTATTGGCTTTTTTTCAATTTTTTTCAGTTTTTTATTTTTTTCTAGAAATACCAAATATACTAAAAGCTCAGTGACCTTTTTAATGTATAATGGTCATAAAAGTAAATTAGTTTATAGCAAAACATAGTTATAAAAATAATATTAACTATTTTTAATATTCATTTAAACGTCTGTTATGGTCGTGACAGGATTTTGTGTTTTTCCACTAAAGATGCTCTTTTTAAAAAAAACTACCAAAGATATTGCGTTACCATGGACATTTTATGAAACTTCAAATGTTAATGAAATCAAAAAAATAATAAAAGTTTTGAAAAAAGGGGAAAAAAATTTGCAAAGTGTGTTTCCTGAAAACGTACGTTTTTAAATTTTCACTCTAGTATTAAAAATGTGCATTTTCACACAGTTACAATATTTTTCATGATGGTGGGTGTAAGTAAAAGAAAATAAATAGGAACAAAAGCACAAAAGAAAAGAATAGACCCTTGTAAAACAAAAACCGAACAGTCTATACAAAAATCTTGCTTCTGAGCTAAGAAAAAACAACATTAAGTTAGTTCACAACAGTTCAGAGAGTTTCAGTTGACAGCAAACAACTCAATATAAAACTATGATTATGGATGAGAAAGGAACACAGAACACATCTTAAATTTCTTATTTTCTTTAACATGCTTTTTTTGTGTCTAAATTAAAATGTTTTAATTTAATTTAAATTGTTCAAGCTGGGTGATTTGGCTTTCAGCTAAAATAATCTTTAATCTGTCAGCGGACAATTCAAGTAAGTAGTAAGTATTTAATTTGAAGTATTTACAACACCCTCACTTACCCTTCGTACAGTTCTTGGACTAAGAGTTAGGTAATTTGGAGGCAAAGGCTTTCTTCCTAAACAAACTTCCGTCTGCGTAGCTTGAGTCTTCATAGGAGCTCTTTTAACTTTTTCTGTAAACAGAATCACTAATAACACTCTAATTTACTGAATATTTAGGAAATTCCAAAGACTCATATTGAATTATAATATTACAAATTGAAATCAAACAACAGACTAAGAGTTAGGATCAGGAAGATACCTCAGCTGACTTAAAGTAAATCAATGCTCTTCTCCTGACTCACTGACTATATCACTATTATAAGATCGCAACTAAGACGTAGATCTTGTAGGATAAGTTTTGGGGGATGAAATACCTTATCTAGCTTTTTTACTGACAAAGAACACTGTGTTTTATTCAAAACCTTTCATTAAAAATACAATGATTAAGGAACAGCTGGGTCCAGTTTTGAAATATCAAAAGTGACTTTACACAGGACCAAACTGGCAAACATTTTGGTCTGAGGAGCAATATAACCACTCAGAAGCTACTTACCCATGACAACGACTTTTTGAGGTTCTTGTAATGTTTCCGTGGACTTTTTCCCATCAATAAGTCTCTCTTGGCTACACGAGCTAACACTTCCAGCCATGCTGACTACTGCATCGTCAAATGATGTTAAGGTGTGTGAACGAGCAAAACTGACATGTTTTGTTCTGAAAAAAGTGCAAAAAATCCTCAACAGTTGTTTACAGTGGAACACTTGAATTGGATTTCTCAACTTACGTCTTTTAATCAGCAGCCATACGTCATCTCTAACATAAAATTGGCTTACATTGATTACAAGAGGAAGTTGATCAGTTTTTATTTAAATTAATAATTTGCTAATACTTAGGAGCTACCTAGATAGCTCTAATAGCTTAGGTCTTTAGGCAGTATGGCCAATAACATTAGTAAGGCTTTGAGAGTTATATAGCGCTATGTAGGAAGATGCAAAAAAATCCAACACATGTTTGAAGCCCAAGTAAATTACACATTAGGGAATAATTTAAGCTACATTTTATCATTTAGTAACTTACAACTACTTCGCCTGCAACAAAAAACGCACTATAACAAATATGACACTGTACTATTTTCAACAAATATCTGTTAATAAAGAATAACTGTCTATTATCTACAGTATTTCATGTGTTAGCCCATTGAGCAAGTTACTCTGAGTAGTGAGTTAATGTAATGTCTCTCTTTCTATAACTTGGGAAATACAAACCAATAATATCATTTCAAAATTGTCAAGAGTATGTTGTTTGATAAGAAAACTTAAAAATTGTGTTTCTAAACCAACACTTCTAATTGTTTATCACAGTTTATTTCACTCACACTTGCTGTATGGCAATATACTGTGGGGTAATAGCTCAGGAGCTCACCGGGTCTTTACATGGCAAAAGAAGGCTCTCAGAATTATGTTTGAAATTCCAGATAGGGTTAGTTGCAAAGCATTTTTTGCTGAAAATAAAATCATGACACTCTCTAATATTTTCATTTTTTACAATTTAGTTTCCGTTAAAGAGAATCTGAATAAATTTGTTCCTTGCAACTCAATCCATGGGTATATCACCAGACAATCAAAAGATTTATATATTCCTCAAGCCAGGCTATCAAAATTTATCAAAAGTTATAAATACTTGCAAATAAAACTATTTAATAAACTTCCAATATATTTTAGAAATCAGGAAAGTATTCATTTGTATAGGTCAAAATTATCAGATTGGCTTACAAGCCATGCTTTTTATTCAGTTGAGGAGTTTTTGCAGAATGTAGATTTTTCAACGCTTAAATGTGAGGCCAAGCAGTCTTGATGATTCTTTGTTCGTGTTATGGTCTTTTCCCTGTTAATTTCAAAGTTTTTATTATTACTGATGCTTTATCCTTTTAAGATTCTTTTAACCAACTTTATTTTAACATTTTCTGTAGAATATTTAATATTTTATATAACATATGTAACAAAACATGTTGACCTTGTCTATTGTAATGTTTATATTACCAAACGACAATAAAGATATATTATTATTATTATTATTATTCTTTAAAGGCACAGGGAAACATAAAGTAGTATGATTAGCAAAAATATTTAACCTAATGCAATTAAGACCCATGAGAAACCTAAATCGACAATCTTCAGTTTACAGTTCAGTTAAGTTCTTTGAAAGAGCAAGCGATAACATAAGGTTACATTCTCCTTGATTTTGTTGACTCTAAGCCAGTCCAACATACCATCTTCCTCCTCTCTTGTTTATTTTTGGTCTGTGACGTATGGATGATAATCACAACACAACTATCAGCATAAATTATACCCACAAAACACCGGCCTACCTAGCTAGGACTTAGACCTCTTTTATGCACAAAGTTTACCATCAGGCGGATTAAGTTATTTTACATGGGATCAAAAATGAGACCCTTTTTAAATGCACAACCGAATCTCCGTCGCGTTTCAGCGTTCTGTCTGGGGTGGGCGGAGGACTTAAGCTCCGCTGAGTTTCGGCATTCCGTCAGGGAGTTTTTTACGTAATATCAAATGGAATCCTGTTATGCCACGGTGTTTTCTGTTGGGCAGAATGCAGTGCTGCCAACCTAACCTGTGCTTGTCATCCACAGTATCGAAATCGCCTAAACATTGTAAATAGATGATCATTGTAATAGATCGAGGATACAGCCATAGACTAGGCAACACAAGTAGACTCCTCATCCCATTGTACATTTTGAAGCTTGTTTTTCGTGTCTAGTTCATGTACGTCCACACTGATTGCTGGGGTAGACAACATTTTGTTTCTGTTATTTTAGGGTTATTTTCATGATTTGTGCTTTACTATTTGGTTATATACTAGGAGACTAGTTATTGCTTATAATTACATCGTTTTATTTGGTTAAATGAGGTTTTAAATGACTGAAATAACAAGAAAAAATTGTATAAACAAAACATAACCTCTACAGTTGGACGTACAGAACTAACAATAAAATTGGCTTCAGCTGTTCCATAGGGATGACAAATCTACTAAGGGAGTATGATTTATCTATGATACAGCTAAAAAATTTATATACTGTAATTGCGAAAAAAAACTTACATGGTGCGTATAACTAAGTTTTAATTTTTTGTATCCTCGGAATAATACATTCATTTTGCAGCACACCATATAAGTTTGCGAAAGCTCCATCCAGCCTACGACTTTGATTCACCAAGTGTACAGCCCACCTCCTTCCTCTTCGTCTGTTTTTCTTAACACACGAATAGGTCAAAACCGATAAACAAGGGTCTTTCTTTTGCAACTGATGATGGAAAAATGAACAAAGTTGGTAGCACTGGCACCACCCACCGCGGACATCATAAAAAACCAGTGGATTCCGCTCGGGGAAAAACCTGCACAACAGGGACATTGATTCTGCCCGACAATTTCGCCTGACCTAAAACGTTGTGCATAAATGAGGCCTAAGGCATTCTTCCTTGTTCCCTATGCTTACCTGTGAGGCATGGTAGGTATCGCAGGAGGCGGTGGTGGTGGAGGCAGGTGTGGATGGGCAGGACAAGGCATGTGTCGACCAACCAAATACTCTGTACTGTAGCTCATGTAATGTGGTCCCCTTCTCGGATAGTTGTTACACATGTCGTATTCGTCGGGTCGGATCGGTCTAGGGTGCTCCTAGACAGACAAGAGTTAATTAAGTTAGTAGTTTTTGTCTATAAATGGAAGTACAGTATTAGGCTATTTCAAGACTAAAATACTAAACAGAACTTTTTTAAAGCATTATATCCAAGGTCAAGATTTTACTAGCCTAAAAGAAAATGTTTTTTTTTTATGTACCATCATGTAATTATTCTCTTAGAAATTGCAGATGTCCTTCAAAATAATATGGCAAATTTATTTAATTTTGCGCTATGCTACAGTAATTGATCGTTTTGATAACCTACCATTCTGATTGCCTCTTCATCCTCTGCCATCCATGTGTATCCATGCGGATCATTACACAGCGACTTAGGCCTTCGTCTGAAGTAGACAGCTTCTTCAGGAGGAAAGTACCTTGGCCATCGAGGAAATGGTGCATAATCGTAGGCTGGTCTTCTACACAACTCTGCCAAGTTTTCATCTGACGGCACTTTCCGGCGAACACAAACTGATAACAGGCCCGGGCTTCTTGAACTACATGAAGAGTCCTAAATTGAAAAATTATGATTAAAAATGAGTTTTCAACTCAGTATTTTCTTGGTGTCCAAATAAACTTAGAAATAAATATAATGGCACTAGTCTAGTAGGTCATCTATCACTTGTTTAGCAGGTAAGGATCGATCTCTATCCTTATAGAGATGGTATAAGTTATAAATACCCTGAAAAAATTTGGTCTTAAGTATCAAAAACAAACACAAAATTCTGGAAACACCATGTTTGTCAATTAGGTTGCCTTAAAATATGTGACTAAGCATGAAAAGCACAAGGACTGGAGGCATGTTGTGAGGCATAGGCTATTATAAGCCTAAGCACATCACATCCTGGAACTCAGGTATGATAAGTTAACATAGGACAACTAGATCCCAAGAGAAGCAAATTAAATGTGACTCATCACAACTCTAATTGTAGGTGAATAGTCATGATTGTAGATAACTTAGTTGAACTGAATGATATTTTTGAATGGATACTTAGTATGTTTGCATAACATTTTTTGCATACAAGGCTTGAGTTTATTTTTTTAAATTTTGATTATATTACTGAACTAACCTATAGCTCTGAATGAATGTTGCTTCAATGTAATTTTTGATTATGCTAACTATCACGATATTATGAGAACAAAACCTGAGTTGATTCGGAACTAGAAACCCTTTCAAAAACGCTTTTTAATAAACCCAATGTTTTAGATATGCTCGTTAGTTTTGTTCTTAAACAGTAAACACAGAGCGACAGCGAAAGAAAGCAAGTAGTTGTTTTGTTATATTCGAAATGTAAACATTAAACAATACAGGCAAGCAGAAGCGAATAATCAGCTGGTGACATCAACAATAACAAACCAATCACAGTACCTAACCTAAACTGTTTACGATAAGTTTGATGCGAATGTTCGATGACGTCATGGGAGCGTCTAGGAAACATTTTGTATTTTGATTGATTATTTTATTGATCGTAAAAACGATGTTTGATAGTTTTTAAAGAGAGGAAAATGATTGACTGAATATTAATGTCATGGTTAATAACGGTGAAATGGAAGTGCTTGTACAGAAATAACTGAAATAAGAAATAAGATTATGATACAGGGGAAGGATTCATGTAAATGTAAATTGTTTCAAAATAGCCAATCAATCATATCTATTATTAACTATTAATAATGATTTGAGATTGGTACGCCACCTAGGTGCATATTTTAACCCAAATATGAGTGAAGGATGAGTAAAAAATAGAAGTGGTAGTGGATCCGATAGACAGTATTTTTTGTAGCTTTTGCTACTGGCTAAGATCAGCTGTTTCATTTGCCAGGATATCAATGATCAGGAACAGCTGGGTCCCTTTCTCAGAGACATTCTGATCATTACAGTCACTAATACATAAGAAAACAAAGTCATGTTTATCACAAGAAACTCCATTCCTACTTCCTAGTAGTACCGGAAGAATTACCATGTCTAATCGTTTAATACTAACTTATTACTTACTTACTTTGTAGTAACTTTACTTTACTACTACTCTAAGTTCAATACTAATAATGTTCTAAGTTTAATACTCACACTAAGGTCGACATGGTAGGAGGACAGACAGCCGAACAAGCCCCCCGTGTTCTGTATGTCCTCAAGGCCATGCAGCTGTTTGTCGTTGATGCAGTATTGCTCTCTGATGTCCTCCTTGCTGTACAGAGGGGTCCCTCGCTTGCTTCTGCCCAGCTGCTTGCGTCGACCCATCCCCATTAGCTCATCCTCGCTCTCGTAGGTGGTGGGCTCCCCCACTCGAATGTCCGCCTGCAAAGTGCCATAATAACAGTGACCAATTGAATTGTGCACATCAATTTTAATTCGATTATATCATCTCCATAAAACCGACACAGCAGGGTGCATTTTTTTAAAGAGATAAGTGATGTAAGTATTGAATACATTCATCATGACAGATTACTTGAGCCAGAACATATTTAATTCCGTAAGCGAATCGGTCCCCGCGAAATATCTCGAGCTAGGAAAATGGTAGCATGGCTACTAAGGATTAATATTAAAGCTTAAGGTTCAAGGACGGTGGGTAATATATCAGAAGTGTCAACAATTACCCCTGTTCAGCCCCACAGGCCGTCAAAGATCCATTCATTTTCTAATGGAAGTACTGCTACAGTGTTTCTATAAGCTGTTTTAAATATACCAGCTGATGTAAACATTGGGTATTTGCATTTTTATTGATTTTAGTGTTCTGTTTTTAGGTTAGAATGGTAATTCAGTGTTGAAATTTATTTTGTTGGGGGAAGACCACGACTAAATGAATTTGTATACACAACTAAAAAACAGCAATTGCTGCTATGGTCACCAAGTCATTTTTAATATCCCTATCATCAGTCCAGCTCAGAAAACCAAATGGGGTAAAAAATTCCTGTATAAGCCAAATTTGGTACAGTTGTAGGGGAATGATCCTTAAACAAAATACTAAAAGCATAGATTAAACGTTTAATCTATGCTAAAAGTACTAAGATCGTTGGGGCAGAGTTAAGGGAGGGTTGGGGGCTCTAAAGGTACTTTTTATGGTTATAGTAATGATAAAATACTTTTTGGCTGAGATGAGGTTACATTTTTAATCACATCATTTGCAAATGATCCCAAACGGGTAGGCCTATGTATGTACTGTGGTTAATTTAATTTATCCTGAAAGCTCTGATTATGTTTCTAGATTTAGAGTAGACTGCGTATAAAGTTTAGTTTTAATAAGAGTACTCATCATTGAAATTAAAATGCCCAATAATACTCAGAAGCAATTTGATTACGTTTGAATATTATAAACGCATCTCCGTCGAACGATGAGCCGTCGTTTCTTTGAACATATAATAAAGTAATAAAGTATATCAAGTAAAGTTCATCTGGAAGACAAGTTGATAAGTTGCTCGAAGCTGTTTGTAACATTGCTAAGCTCAAAGTCCTTGCTAAATCAAATCCTTTCTGACACAGGGCCGGGGGTGATGTTTAAAACAAAGCAGTCCTCAAACACTGACTTCTATGAGACTTATTCTGTGGATGATCACTTTTTGAACGTAGATTTTGATCAAAAGTGATTATATTGTTGATTGTGGACTAATTGAGCACTGTCGCTCCTTTTTGTAAATACAAGTGTACGGTTGCATAAACAACGTTTTTGTCTAAAGTCAGGAAAGGCTTTGTTTTAAATCGGAACTTTTACAAGTGTGTTCCAAAAAATAAAACGATGAAAAAAAGTATAGACCCTATCGTATGTATATATTTTTTCCTACAGTTCATGACAAAGTGAGCTTCATTGCACTGATTATAGCACGACAAGTAGCTAATTGCTGCATTTACTTACTTTTGCAGCACTAATTTTGTTTCCGCACTCCAGTATTCTAACCAAACAACACAAAACAGTGTGCGTTTAATAAGAACGTAATACCATAGATAAACATACTCCCATTCGTGCACGCTTGAAAATAAGCTCGCAACACTTAAAGATATTACGACTGCGATCAGCTGGTGCAGTGTTTCCCATTTCGTTCAACGCTTGCATTTGATTTAACCTAACCTAAAAACGTGTTGTATAGTGTTTGAAAAACATATTACTTTAGTAACTGTAGGAAATAGTTATTTGTGTAACTAGTGGTGAAAGTGGCACTTTGCTGCACACGAGAGCAATGTTTACGCACGAGCCGCAGGCGAGTGCGGAATGATCTCGAGTGCAGCAAAGGCCTTTTTCACTCGTGTTACACATTATATTTTTCCTACAGTCACTATAAAGCATATACATAATTAGTCCTTCAAACACTATACAACACGTTTTTAGGTTCAGCTGGCAACACAAATGGTGCCCTAGAGAAAGTAGTCCCCGCGGTCCGTATCACTCCGCTGTTTTTCCTAGGCAAGAAATGTGCTCCGCGTTTTGAGAATATAGTTCCGTAAGTTTTTGTAATTTGAAGATGTTTCCGCGTCTAAAAAATGCTTTAAAGGTATTTTCTTGTTTATTAAGATCGTAGGAATGTTTTAAAAACGTTTAAAAGAAAAGTCCAGAAAGTTCAGAAATACCGAAACTATAAACACGAAATGACAGGTTAAATCGTAGTTATAATAGTCAATCAGCTGCTCATAGTATTATTATCTTTAAGTGCTGCCAACCTATTTCCAAGCGTACACGGATTACGTGCATAATAGAACCACGCTGTTTTGTGTTGTTTCGTTGGAATCCTGATGTGCGGCAAAGTATAAACCGTACGGCAAAGTATAAATATGCAGCAATTAGCAGCTTTCTGTACTATAAACAGTACAAGGATGCCAACTTTGTCGGGTGACTGTAGGAAAAATATAATGTGTAGCGAGTGCAAAGTGCCTTTGCTGCGCTCGAGAAACTTTCCACATTAGCCTGTTGCTCGCGCGTAAACATTTCTCCCATGTGCAGCAAGTGTCATTTCACACACTAGTTACAGAAATAACTATTTAGTTAACATATGGCTGAGAATAACCACTTGATCGTAGCAGTAACGCATTTTCAGTTATTAAAGAGTTCTTTAAATGGCCAGTACAGGATTCCACTAAGAGAAAATCTCACCCACTTACCCAACAAAATATTGGGCTCCACGCTGTTGCACATAAAGACCCCACAATACAAAAAGTACCCGTAATGTGGTCTTGAACTCCTTCCAAAACATATCTCCACGTCGGCGTCGGGGCATGTATTTTCTATCCTAACGGATATTGCTACGCTTAGTTGAGATCAAATAATGTATTATGCCTTTTCTCTATAAGTACTGAAGAGGTTAACCAACTAAGACAAAATTCAAATGCAGGTTGGTCCAAAAATATGACATATTTCAACATAAATCTTTATTTACAAAATTTTAACCACAAGGTAACATTTACATTATGTCTGAAAAAAAAGTTGTTGGTGATATTCTAGAAATCTCAATATGGCCACCGTTTAAGGCTCTGTCAAATCGAAATTTAATCTCCCGCCAAACATTGCTCAGTATTTCTGGAGTAAAATATTTAACATGTTTTAATGCAGACAGAGCCTCAACGGTGGCCATATTGAGATTTATTGAATATCAACAAACACTTTTTCACTTTTTTTGAGTTTTTCTATTTATACATATGCAAATGTTACCATGTAGTTAACATTTTGAAAGTATAAATTTATGTTAAAATATGTCAGTTCTTTTTGGACCTCCGTGTATTTTTCCTTTACCAACATTAGTACACATTCATCCTCTGGTAAATTTATTGTAGTCAAAGTTCGAAATTATTTTCGTTGAGTTGTTAGATGTTTTAATATGAAATTCGAAAACATTCTGCCAACACCGGATGAACTGTCCAGAAGCTTAAACTTGAAATTGTAAGATTTATTAGAAGCGGTTACTGTTAGGGTTTAACGGACAAAATAAGGCTACACTTATTATCTTGACACTAATATCTTTAGGAAACGAAAAGTTAAGTATAAATTGGTCATACAAAATACTTCAAATATGTTCAAAAGATTTAATTCATTTGTTTCGCCAAGCTTACGTGCGGTTATGATTACAATAGTTATTTGTGCAACTAGTGAGCAAACTGAGTAATTGCCTCACTCGAGAGAAATCCTTACTCACGAACCGTTGGCGAGTGAGGAATGGTTTCTCGAGTGAGGCAATTGCACTTTGCACTCGAGTTGCACATTATATTTTTCCTACAGTTACCATAAAACAAATAAATTGGTAAAGAAACGTGCCTTCACGTTGCAAATCTGGAGTGAGACAAAGTAATTAGAGTTAGACAATGTAATAATACACTACTTTAATAATACACTTAATAATAATATACACTTAAATAATATACTTTAATAATAATACACTACAATACTTTAATAAAACACAGATTAGAATACATGAAATATTTTGATGCTAAATTGATACCTTTCTGAAAGATAAATCTCCATTCAAAAGGATCCATTAATGGAATTGATAACGATCTGAATCAAATTAATCGAGAAGAAATATCTCTCTTGGGGAAAACAATTTTAAGATTGATGAGTTTTTATCTTTTTATACGCTCATTATACAGTAGAACCTGGGGATCGAGCTTTGCTCGGTGAACTTAATTAGTATACTCTGAGCAATTAATACTTGGCTTAAAATACCTACATTCGTATGTATGTTCGCCATTTTAGTTAAAAAGCCTTAAAGCATTAAGTATAAACCGTACTAAACCCGTTTGTGTAGTAAAAAAGTAGTTAATTATTATTGTTTGTTGTTATTCACTACTTCTAATTCAAAGGAAGATAAATAAGCTCTATTCTCTACAATTTGCCAATCTTTCAATCAGTAAAGGATATTTTTACTTACACGATAGTTATGAAGGAAAAGAATAACAAATTTTAAAATAAACTTAGGAAACCAATAGAAAACAATAGAAGCAATGTAATAGAGACAGCGAAACACATTAAACAGTTCAGTTATCAATAAATACACAGTTTTAAGTTTAATCTTTTTGTTTAACTTTTGTAGTAAAATTAATGTATTTTCAGCTTATGTTGTAAAATTATAATATTCAACAGTTTTGATTATGATCAAGAAATGTTGAAAGTAAGCGTGGTAAAATATGTACTGTTCTCCCAGAATAACCTGGATGATAATTATTAAGTGGTAGTTATAACATGGCTAGATAAGGTACGGTATCTAACTCTTGAATAGTTCCAAAAACGTAAATGTTTTGCACGTTATATTAGGCATCTGCATTTACAAATGGTAATATAATATTTTTTTAATTTTATTGGAACTCATCAAATATATTTAAATCCTGATTACAATCACTTTGATGTAAAACACAGTTAACATGACTAAATAGTCAAGCCTTATTATACGTAAGGCCATGTCACTAACTAGAAGCAGACTTATTATGCTATGTGAAAATTACGTAGCGGGTGTTCTACTTTTAGAGAATTTCCCATACAGGGAATAAGCTATATTACCGTAGTACTCATGGTAAGACTTGGACCTGTATACATAATAATTATGTGTGCCCGTTAGCACGATAACTCAAGCAAATATGATCCGATTGTGATGACACTTGGTATAAACGTGTAAACCTATATTTATTCGAACGAGTTTGCGACCCAGCATGATCGGACTATGGGAACAGGGGTTTATGGGGGGTTTTATGGATTAAAAATTGGTGTTTCCCATTTTTGACAAAAAAAAACACAAAAAAAAAAACAATATTTCCACAATTTCTTTCCAAACCTTTTTGTAGAGCTTAAAAAAACAAATAATTAAGTACATTGAAGCTTTATTGTGTGCCTAATGGTTACGAATAAAATTCCAAAAAATTGAAAAAATTAAAAATTCTTATGTTATTCTTATTTGAGAATAAGTCAACTGTTGTAGTTTGTTTGTTTATGAACATATTTTGATCGAATTTGGATCATACTTTCATATCTTACTAAACTATTAACATAAAAAAACACTTTTTTACCCTCCCTTTTGCAGCAAACCTAAGTACTCGTTAAACTAATAATTATATTTAAATAGGGAATAAATGTGATATTTTTAAGGAGAAATTTTAGCGTAAATCAAATCAGGCAAATGGAAATTCGCTTAGTAGGCAGGTTTGCTGCGGCGGGGGTATTTTAACTTAAGATGTAAGGTATGAATCAAAATTATTTTTTACAAAAACGTTCAGGGGCTAAACAGATGGATTTGAATAATAGTAATGTTAATAATAAGATGGAGTTTCTCTTACCTGTATCGACACGTCATTAAACGGGTTGGCTTTCTGGTTGGAGTCACGGAGGACGGATCGTAGACCTGTAACAAAAATATAGGATTAGTCATTGACAAACATATCAACAAACATAAATATCAACAAAAACAAGCATCCAGCATCGAGTGTCAGGGTGTCCACAATGCACAGGCGGTTTTCTTTACTAGTTACTCTTTATAAGTTACGTTTCCATGTATAATCCTTATATATAATACGTGAAGGCGATTTCTACAAAACACTACTCCTCCGTTAATAATGGACGGATTTTTACAAACGACGTGTCAAAATAAAGTATTTTTTGTGTAGACGCCCCCTTTCACCAATTCATGTAGTAAAAATCCTCGGGTTTTGCCCCACAGGCCATCAAAGTTGGAGTTTCTCCCATAAGATTAACATGGGGGAATCTAAATATTTAATTGGAAACTTTGTCCCCACTAATTTGAGAGAACGGCTGGGCGTAGAAACTTGGTAGAGGTGTCCAAAGAAAGGTCTTGGTCTGTAGATGAGTTATCAAAAGAAAAACTAATCAAAATCCTTTAGGACTATGCCCCAGAAGAATTTAAAGATCCCTCCACAGAGTTGTTTACATTTTGGCCATGTGAATACTTTTTAATGAAACAGCTGTTAATTTTTAAATTGTATTTCAAACAACACACATTTATTGGGAGTTACTGAAATCTACCAAATAAGTATTTGCAATGTTATTTTCTGATTTTAAAATTGATTTTCTTCTTTATCTTGTCATGTTTTGCAATATAACTTCCATTACGAAATCAGTGGAAAATCCTTTTATCACAGCAATTCTTAAATTATTTCTTATTGGACTATTTTATATCTATTGTACGGGTTGGTGTCTGCCTTTTTCACCACTTTTGCCTACATTTTATCATATTATTCTACACATATCAAATATTTATGTAGAAATATCTGCTCTGATCGTGTCTAACTAATAAAATCCAAACTTTGTCTAAAATGGTACCCATCTTGACAAATTATTTGCACCTGCCTATATTACGGACTTTGGCGCACTGGTTTAGTAACATTATTGAAAATAACACGACATTTTGGTTGTAAAAGATGGTACAAAGAGAAAATACTATTTAAGCAGCTACTGTCATGACAGAAAGGTAATATTCCTTTTAAACTAGATCACATAATCCCTTATAAGATACGTTGATTAACAATATGTAAACGTCAATTTATACGTAACAGCCAATTTGCAGTATTTTTGCTTTTTGGAAATGTCCCATTGCTATGTCATTTGCATTATATGATGCCTATGAAGCCGCACGAACATATAAACGAGGAGACCCCTAACAGTACAAGAATAAAAGCCATTTCACTTCAAGTATTCCACTACACCTAACATTCCGTAGAGAGATTATATTGACAACTTTATGTTATTGATAAGGCTGAGGCAACTAACTGACATCCCCCATGTCAAGGAATTCCAGCTTTAACAGTAACCCCACAATCAATAAATTCTCATAAAACTTGCTAAGGGTTCATTTATTGGCACAGAAGTACGATATGAACTGACGTGACGTGACGAAGGAAAAATCAAACTTCCGCTGTAATGGATATACCTCCCTCCCTTTGAAGTTAGAATATGTCTTCCCAAAAAAATATTTTCTTTTGAAATAAAATCATATTACACTGATGAAATCACGAAAGTGTTAAACTACAAAAGATCCATCAATACGATTTTAATAGCCTACTATTTAAACGTTCTTCCAAAGGAAGATACTCCGATGACATACGGTATGGGGAATATTTTATTCATTGAATGATCAACAAGACATTTAAACTAACGCAATTAATATCATTAGTGTTTTTACACTTATTACTCTTTAAACAATGTTAAAATGCTCAAAATATGTATATTTCACCCAATTTATCGCAGTTAGATGAATTAACGTAGTACTCTAAACTAGCCGTTCCATTTCAGTTAATTGAAAAGATTAATTTATTCAGCATTGTTGTTTTACTTTACAACACGAGTAACGGACCAATGAGATTCAAGGATTGGGAGAAAAGAAGTAAAATTAATATTGCAATTATTCGAACGTTAACTTATCAGCTGTTAATACCAATTTAATTGATTAAACAATGAGTGATTGGTTGGGGAATCACAATTAGTGGCTATGCGAGGCTATACCATTGGCTATACACGAAAACATAACCTCTCTTGGAAGTTATGAGTAGTGATTTTTAGTAATTAAGAAACATTCGTAGGGAAAGTAGTGGTTTTTTTAGTGGTTAAAACTCGTAGAAGTTTTAAAGACACTCGACAAGGCTCGTCCCTTTAACTTTCTACTCGTGTCGTTAAGACTATGCTTACGCGATCATTGCGTAAACTAATATTTTTTGCTGACTGAAATTGGACGTGAACCTTAGACTAAAGAGCGAGATGGTCTAGTGTAGAGTGTGGGGTTTCGATCCCAGTAGAGTACCGGGTTCAAATCCCGCCAATCGCCAATGGCTTTTTAGCAATGGGATGATGCCGTAAAGCTCTACGCCTAGTCTGAAATAATTTATAAAAGGTTCAGGGTTAGAACCCAGCGTCCTAGGATGGCAAGGTGGGACGGAATGGGTGAGGTGGAATGGGAGTTATTTGTTTCTGCAAAAAGACAAATCTTGAGCTAAAGACACCTCAGTTGAGGACACTATGGGTGCGAATTCTATTCCGTGAATGGTCGATTTTAGCTAAAGCCTCTTTTTGTAATTAGGTTATCTATATATATATAAGGCAAAGCCCTCAACTGACTCACTGACTCGCTCACTCATCACTAATTCTTCCACTTCCCATTTACCTAGGAGGCTGAAATTTGGTACACTGATTCTTTAGGCATTAAATAGGAAAACTAAGCTGTTTTTATTCTGATCGGACTCTCGCGCTCCGCCCCAGTGGCTCTGGAGTTTCCCATGTTAACCTTATGAGAAATGGAATTAATGAATCTTAACAGCTGTTTCAATTAAACAAGTTGGTTCTGTTCTATGATGTTCAATAGCATTAAAGTTACAAGGATTACCAAACAGGGTGCAGCACTATTATTTCTTTTACATTTATGACAACAGCTAATTTGCAACCAAAAGGTGAGTGAGCGTAGCGAACGAACTTCAACCAGGACGTGATTGAGCCATGCGAACGAGCTCACTTATAAAGATAAACGGGGCAAAGCCCGCGGGTGCAGCTAGTTAATTATAAATGATTGATAGCAACAGGCCATCTTTAGATGACTAAAATAAGAGTTTCAGGCCATCCCGTAATAAAACCCGCGAAAATTACCACTGATGACGAAACAGTCTTAAAACGTCTCATTGATAAAACCAGATTGATTACATCACCTTTATAATGTATATACATGTGATATTTTCAACACTTGACGTGATGAAAATGAACACATTTTGTGTTAAATGAAAAAATCAGTTTAGTTTTCCTCAGCTGGGTGTATAGGCCTATTCTTTTGTTTCAACGCTAGAAGCATTTTCGGTTTTTTTTTATAAGAGAAAGATTAACACGCCCTATTACCCTATTGAGATTTCGATCTTTATTCCTTGGCTCAAGGCTCATATGAAAACAGACAGCAAAATATCGATATGCAAGACCCAAACAAACAAAAGTTTGTTAATGAAATGTGAAAAAATGAGTGTAAAATGGGCGTGATGTCTGGTGTAGTTTTCTTTACTTTAGTCCAGCTGTTTAAACATACAATAGTACAATATCAAAACAACTCATTGTTACATTTACGTCATTTTAAACATATTAAACCAATTTCGACAAAAGGTGATTCAAAGTACAATATCAAGAACAGCTGATAGTACATCTTTACCCCAGTATCTCTAACAGAGATCACAACTGCGAGCAATTATTGATGATTGATCAATTGACTAATTGCTGTAGAGACAGCAAATGCTGCATCAAGGGACTATCCCTCGAGTGGAGAGGACAGACTGAGAACTACTCATGGTTGCTATTGTAGCCAAGATAAACATGTTACGTATACATTCCGTGCTTAAATGTTATTCTTATTGTATTTTGATTCTCAAATTACACCACAGCCATTTGTAGATGCATATCTTTTACAATATATACACTCAAAATAAATACACTCAACGCTTAAAAACGTGACGTTGGTTGGTGGTAATGTTTTGAAAGAACGATGGAACTAATGGTCTAGCTTTTTAGGCTACTAAAATTTTTTTGTATTTTTTCATGAAAATTCAATAGAAATAATTAAACTAATTATAGATTCATGGGATTAGTGATGTCCCAACAGTATAATGTCCACCAAAATAAGAATCATAATCGTAATGTGTAATATATCTGTATAATGTAAGATACTTAGAGTTAACAAATTAAACATTAAATGTTACGTGTTGGGCGAGCGTTTTTGTGTGGTTTTAAATCATCCCCTACGAGATTACGATGCCTTTTCCAGTTCCTCATTACCCTCACATTACTATATTATTTTTGCAGCTACAGTAGAATATTTGGATTATACTTTGCTGCAGTTTTGGATAGAATACTATTCTTGAACAAAATTACACTGCTATTATCCCAGTTGCTCTATTGACTTTGAGTATAGACTTATGAAAACAAACAATATCATGATCTTTATTTTATACAGTAATCGTAAAAAAAAAAACAATTCACTTACTTTCCAAGAACGCCGAAAATGATATTTACTGCGATTGAGTGTATATGATACAATTGTTAAAATAAATTTGATTATTCAAATCCTAATATTCATAAATCAAATAAATATCTAAGGACAGTTACTAGGCCTACTAATTTGCTCATTTGGCTAAACAATTTTAATTTTACTCCATCCAAAGTTAAATATATTATAAACGTTCTGTTGAAAATTTGGACTATAGTCTGAGTGAAAAAAGTTATGTCAAAACATTTCTATTTTTAATGTAGCTTAGATAGTTTATTTTATTTTACAAAAAAATAGTTCAGCTTTAGTCGAAATACAATATTTTTGTGTATAACTCTAGAACGTTTATGGCTATCTAGTTTGAAGAACTTGTTACAATT